CCAAGAATCACGGGGGCTTCTGGAATTTTGGTAACTTTTGTTTCTTGATATTTTGGGTGCAGGTTAACGGAATGTGCTCACTTTTTGAAAATGCAAGCCTTACACTTTTGAGTTGTGCGCTTTTATGGATGTATTTTATACTTCTAGAAAGTAAACGTTAAAAACAAGAAGAAAGAAAAAAATCAGTATACAAAACTCAGCTCTGAAACCACTATACATATTTTAGGATTGAACAGGTAAGTAAATGAGTTGTCATTAGTGAGAGCCAAGATTCCCACTGTCAGAGAAAGAAATTTACAGATTAGTAAGGGAGGAAGACTAGAATGAACCCTGTAATCACGGATTAGAGATTAGGATAGCCACATGAGCTCTTATTTATTTTAAGAACTCATGTTTCTTTACGCTGATTGAAATACAGAAGTTATTATATCTATGTGTCTATGCACATGTACATACAGGCATTTCCCAGCTTGGTCTGCTGAGATCTGGAAGCAGTGATACTCCAGTAGCAATGAGCATCCCCAGTGCCCAGCGATTGGTTTTTAAATACAGTTCTCCAAGGAAAGAAGTCAGGACCCCAAGAGAAATGGTTGATTGTAGAGAAGAAGACAAACCCTGTAGGGCCAGAAAACAGGAGAGAGAGAGAGAGAAGAAAGAAAGAGAAGAAAGAAAGAAAGAAAGAAAGAAAGAAAGAAAGAAAGAAAGAAAGAAAGAAAGGAAGGAAGGAAGGAAGGAAGGAAGGAAGGAAGGAAGGAAGGAAGGAAGGAAGGAAGGGAAAGAAAGAAAGGAAGGAAGGAAAGAAAGAAAAAAGGAAGGAAGGGAGGGAAAGAAAGAAGGAAGGAAGGAAGGAAGGAAGGAAGGAAGGAAGGAAGGAAGGAAGGAAGGAAGGAAGGAAAAGAAAGAAAGAAAGAAAGGAAAGAAGGAAGGAAGGGAGGAAGGAAGGAAAAGAAAGAAAGAGAGAGAGAGAGAAAGAAAGAGAGAAAGAAAGAAAGAAAGACAAAGAGGGAGAAAAAAGAGAGACAAGAGGTGGAATGGTGGGTAAGCTGGAGAACACTCGAGCTAAGCTGAAAGAGCCCATGGAACATAAGGAATAGCTGAGAAACCAGGAGGCTAAGGTGACATGAAGACTAAATGCAGTGTTGTATCTTGTACTGGATCTTGCAACAGAAAAAAGGAATTTAATAGAATAACTAGTGAAATCTAAATACAGTCCATCATTTAGTGAATAGTAATGGGCTGATGTTAATGTCTTAGTTTTCGCTACATAAGATTTTAACACTTTGGAAAGCTGGATGGCAGGCGCTGAGGAGCTCTACTATTTTTGCAACTTTTCCTTAAATCAGCAAGAATCATCCCCAAATAAAATACTAATTAATAAAAGTAATGATCTCCATGTATCTGATGATCCTGGTTTTGTTTAAATACACCCACAAGTGTCTGCGCACATATGTACATACACACATGCACACACATGTATATACACACACACACACACACACTGCAAAAAAAGAACAGAAAGAAATACGGCCAAATATTAAGCATAGTGTGTGTGAGCACACTCCATAGCTGCAAGAACAGTGTTCCCTGGGGGAGCTCATGGAGACAGGTATGGAGGCAATGGACAGGACCCTCTTATCCACTTTTTTCTGGGACATTACCAGGGATTAGCAGGCTGGTTGCCAGGGTCTGGGACAGGGATCTTGGCCATTGGGTGACACAGTTGTGAGTTGTCTGATTAGAGAAGCCACCGGCCGGGTATGATCAGGGCCAGATTACAGCCACAGTGGGACACAGCAAGGCCTTGGCCCCCATCCTGTCTGGTCAGCTCTGCATCTGTGGTTGTGCAGAGCACCAGGCTCTCCCCTGCTAGTCAAAGAGCTGGGCTCAAGCACTGCAATTTCAGTCTTATAACACGGCAAGCCAGTGGTTAGAGTCCCACTATGGTGTTCACAGTTTGGGAGCATCAGGGAGGCCTGGCTTTCTTGGCACTGGGCCAGAGCTGGCTGCCACCTCCGTGCCTGGGGAGGCAGCCTGACACAGTCTGGGACAAGTTAACTTTAACCTCTTAGTCACCACCCCGTTGCAGAAGGGCGGCTTTAAGACCCTGCATGCTGCCATGGTAGCAACCAGTACCATGCCAGTGCACGGGGCTGGGAGGTGGGGCACAAACATCCCTGCAGCCCCCTGGAGGATGGTCAGAAAGGGCCTTGTGGCCTTCCTGCCTCAGAGTAGTTCACTCCGCAGAGAGGCAGACAAGGAAGCTGTTTAAAAGAACAGCCAGGAAAACGTGCATCTCCTGCATCCTTGGTTCATGGCCTTGAACATGCGTTTGGAAAGCGTGACAAGGCCAGTTTTTGCAGCCTCTGTGGGAAGTCAAGGAAAGGCTGACTGGGCACACTGCCAAACCACTTCCCAGAGTGGAATCTAGATGGTTTTGGAGGATGGAAGAGTCACCCTGTGTAGCTTACTCAGGCCTGGGCCTGTGGACCAGGAAGCCAGGCACTGCCAGCAACAGGAAGGGGACGCTTGGAGACCCAGCGATGGCCGCTGGCTCTCCGTGCCACATCAGGCCACCTCACAGACCCAGCCGCAGGTGTGTGGAGGAGGGACTCACCTGAGCGAGGGAACATCTCCCCTGTGCAAGTCAGTGAGCGTCTCCCCTTCCACTCTCATGAACTCATGGCCTCCCCTCCCACGGGCAAGTGGACCAGGAGGTGCCCAGTCACCTTCAACTCCCCTCCTGTAGCCTGTGATGGCTGAAGAGCACTCACATGCTTGGCACAGTACCTTCAGCACAGGGCGCTTGCCCCTGGGGGCCCAGGATCACACGGAGCAGAGCACAGGCAGCAGCAGGCACAGCTCTGAGTAGGTGGACTGTCATCAGCCTGTGGGGAGATGGAAATGCTTCCAGAGACGGCCTGAAATTCCAGCTACTCAAGAGGCTGAGTATAGCTTAAGCCTAGGAGTTTGAGACCAGCCTGGGCAACCAGGCAAGTTTAGGACCCTTGAATAAATGAAGACAGACATACATACATGCTTCCAGGTGACATCCTCGCCTTGGTACAAGGGCTGTCCAGACTTCCCAGTGGCCTGAGGGAAAGAAGAGGTGTGGAGAGAATATGCAGGCAGGGCCCCTGCACTGGTGGCTTTGCTCCTCCCCATCTAGCTCCCGGGTCCCTCAGGGACCCCTAAGAATAGGAGGCGGCTGAACTCAGCCACGTGGAGCTGTGAGCAAGGCAGGGGCTACTGCAATTAGTCATTGGTTCAGCTGTTCCAGGTCTGTGGTCAGGGCCAGGAAATAGGCCCCGTCACTCCCTGAGTATATGGTGGGTCTTCACAGAGGTACATCTTCCCAGGGCCTCTTAAGAAAGCCTACATTTCCTGCACTGATCTTGGGTCATTGAGGAGGAAACATCAGGGCCTGTGAAGCTACTGAAATCCCTACCTCAAGGACCTGCCAGCCCTGCATGTGCAAAAACGTTCCAGTGTGCAAACGCACTGCTCTATACAACAGGCGATGCCGTGGCCTTCTCAACTCCCTCGTCGGCTGCGCTAAGCTAAGTGACTGGCCACAGGGGGTCTAGAAATATAGTCAGTGTAAAGGAGCCTCTTTTCAGAACAAGGATGTGAAGACAAATGTCACTTCATTCACAGCAATGGGCTTAGATTTCCCAAAATAGCAATGGGGGAAGGCTGCCTACCCCCCCAACCACACACACACACACACACACACACACACACGCGCGCACACACTGAGGGTCAAGAAGCAAGGAGTCTGGAGGAAAACCAGGAAGCCAGTTTAGGTATCCTGACATTGACAGGGAAGCTGGGCAAAGACCTGGGACCAGCCGTGAAGGGATTTATGGGTACTGACTATGGATGCTGTTAGGAAGGGGGACTTGTAAAGTCGGCTCTGTCCACAAATACTGTGTTTGTGCCTTTGTCTTTTAATCTACTCACCAACTTTTAATGAATACCTTCTAGGTACACAGAACTCTGTAACTCTTGATTAACCATAACAAATATTGAAACCCAGCCCAACTTCCCAAATACCCTTCAAAGCCTTGCATCCTTGATCCGTCTGGAATTACTCTAGTGGCAAATAAACCAAATCCTTTGAAGAAGATTTTCCCTGCTGTTCCTGCCCCTGCCTTGAGGATCACAGGAAGGCCTGGAAACAGATGGTACGGAGCCTTGGAATGAAGAGCTGATGTGTGTGGGCGTCAAGGCTTGCCCATCACCTCTCTGCACATCTGAACCCCGAATCCAGTCTGGGGACTGAGCAACACAAGAGACACAGCATCTCCAAGTCTTGGCCCCTTCTTCTGCAGAGTGGAAGTTTCACTCTCATCTTCCATCTCCAACAACCCATCTTACTGCCCACTCCTGGGCTTTTCCTTCCCAATGATCTCCAGAAAGTCTTTGTGCCTCAGCATCTTGTGAAATGAACGAGCCTGTATTAGTGAAGCCGGTGATGGAAGTTCCCACACTCTGCCTCTTGGCCAGCCCCAGCTTTCCCCAGAGAAGCTTGACATAGTCATTGATTCATGTAGGTTAGTTACAGTGAGGAAGCCTGACGATGACATCGACTCATCAGCAGACACCCCTTTGAGCTGCCACTTCTGGTTCTGAAGCACCTCTTCCTACCTCCAGAAGCTTTGTGCCTCCATGCACAGTATATCGGAGGACTCTCATATATTGCAGAGAATGGCTCTCAGCCGTGGTTGGGCTTTCCCTCAGAAGCTGTGCCACAAGAGCCTACGTGTTCTGCAGCAGGGCACTCTCTTGGGCATGAAGAGGCTGGTGGATCCATCCACACTTAAAGGAAAACCATTTAAATGACGGACCAGAATGAGGGTAGAGTCTCTGCCATAAGCTCTCAATAAAAATAACTGATCCATATAACGTTCAAACCCAAAGCCTTGATGTCACTCAACTGTAGCCTTTCCAACAAAACCTCTCTTTTGTGCATGAATTGATTCATTCATTAAGCGCTTTGACCTCATGCGGCATGCCAGACCACATACTGGAGGGCTGTGGATACAAAGACGGATGAAAGAAGCATTGTCAAGGAGGCACTAACGGTGCAAAGCACCGATGCTGTGAGGTAGCATGCATGGACAGCACTCTCTGTGGGACTGATTACTGTTACCAGGAAGGACAGAGGACGCAGGAGAGGCCTCATGGAAGAGGTTATATCAGTCAGGGCCTTCCTGGCAGAACACAGAACACACTGGAAAGGAATGATGAGCAGAGCCTAAAGAAGGGACCAGGTACAGACGTGTGGGCAGTGCCATGAGAGCCAACAGGTCCCCGGGAGCAGCAGAAAGCTGCAATACCTCTAGGCCTGAGGAGCCAAGTGGACGCAGTGAGTGTGGGATGCCCAGAACCTGCAGATGGCTGCGGCTGGGGAGAAGGGCAGCTATAGGACTAGGGCCCAGGAAGAAAAATGCACCCATTCCCCAAATCATAGGGAGAACTGTGAGCACCGGGACCTTGCTCTCTGATCTCCAGTTAGTGCAGGATTCATGGCTGAAGCCAACTGGAATCCGGAAAGAATGGGGCCTGGGTGACGGCCTCCAGGACACAAAGTAAGGCAGAGAAGTGAGGAATGGAGCTGGAGGAGACAGCAGAATGGCCAACCCACAGGGGGCTTAAACTGAACAGACAAGTGAGAAGAAAGCATGTTGCCAGAGGAAATGAATGAGGTGGGCGGCGGAAGGGTATGGGAAATGGAGAGAAGCGACCCTGTGTGCCTGGAGCTCAGATGTGGTGTGTGTGGTGGGGTACAGGCGGCAGGGAGAAGAGCTGGAGGTGAGGCTGTCGATGCAGTCAGGAGTCAAGGGTGTTGTACAGGAGGCCAAGGGGGTTCATCTTTGTGCTGGCTATGGTGGGAACCATGGCAGTTTAATTTTGGTTTTGTTTTGTTTTAAACCAGGGTGTGATTGGATCTTTACCTTGAGCATGTAACTGACTCCACCATGGAAGGGAATGAAAGGGGAAGAAACTGGAGATCAGGAACCCAATGGCAACATCACTGCAGTAAGTGCAGTAGAGATGGGAGGACTTGAACCACGAGGGAAGTGATGTTGGAGGAAAAGGGCGTGAGGGAAGAAGCCATTGCAGCCTGAAAATAACAAAACCAGGACCGCAGAAGGGAAGGCGTCTGCACTGTCGTCCCAGCAGCAGCATCGCAGCAATCTGGCGTTGGAGCAGACATTTAAGTTCCTCTACTAAACAGTGAGACGGTAATCTTGGCATTGCCACCTTACGGGGTTTTACGGTCAGGTTCAAATAACACAAGTACTTTGTAAAAGTGAAGAGTAAGACAAAGGAAACGTCGAATTGGAGTCATTGTCATGGCTAGTGAGGCCTTGCTGATGAGAATGGTTTTGTGACACCATGAAGTTGTAATAAAAAGATGAATCAACTCACTCTTTGCATGTACAGAGAACAATAGTGCTCTCCTTCGGGCTTGGGAGGCGGGCAATTCACCCCAAACACATTCCTTCCCAGGACCTCTCCTTTGTCATCTGGATTTTCTGAGCTCAGCTAGCTGAAGCACGTTTATCATCTCAGGGGTCTGATCCCCTGGCTGCTCAGTATCTTTATTTATGAAAACAAGTCAGAAATATCTATTGAATAATGATTCTTTTCTGCTTATTTGTGGACTGTTGGACATAAGAAAAAATGGTTGCGATATGGCATTTGCCCAGCAGGTGGCACCCAATGACCGTGTTTGAGATTTGGCTCCACCTTCCAGCCTTTGCTGGAAACTCATTCCCTTACTTCCAAAAAAAAAAAAAAAAAACCCTAATCAGGAGAACCAGAGAAGACGCTACAGGCTTTGAAACAGTTTTCTATGGCGTATAAGTCTGTGGTGACAGAATAAGGGCAGAGGGCCTAAAACTATACTCATTGTGATGGATGGAAATGAGACAGGAAAAAGAACATTCCAGGGTTGATATGTGCTTGCCAGCGGAATGGAGACCTCCATCTTTAGAGGACTCTCCAAATGATACCCTCTTTTAGCAGTCTGGAGACAGGCGATGGGAAAGCCAGCCTCTCCAGAAACCTGTCACTGCTTCCAACATGGGAGGCATATTTTTGAGTACATGAAGATTGGTTTATTCTTGTGACTTTAGGGACTGTCTCCAAGCTCTAAAAGTTCTTATAGTTCATGCTACCTAGTTTAAGAGTTTTAGAAAAGATGAGAGGAAGTGTGGGCAGAAAAGAAGTCTGAAATTGTGCACTACATTCCTTTCATTGAATAATTCTCGTTGAATTTGAATGAGCACAAAATAACATGCACAAAGAATTTTACAGGAACCATCTGATTTAATCATCACAGCAACCCAATGAAGTGCAGACAATCCACACTGCACAGAATGATTAACTTGCCCCAGTCCCACAGCAGATAAGTGGCAGGGTTGGGACTTCTACCCAGGTAGACTCCAAAGCTCAGCTTCACATTTGCAACATGTGGGAGCCTCCTGGTGTGTGTTGGGATGGCATGGCTGCTGTGCCAGGGGCTGGGCATAGAGATTGATGGGACACAAGTTTCTGACCTTAAGGGAATCTGGGAGAGGACAGACATGAATGAGATACAATGTGCCAAGCCTAACCTACAGTGCCCCGACAGCCCAGAGGATACACAAGTTAATGGCCCTAGAGGTCATCAAGTAAAGTTTTGAAAAGTTGAGAGGCAATGAAGGCCATTCCAGGCACAGAGGAGAAGTGGTGCCAAGACACAGAGTATAAGCTCACACAGTGTCCAGGAAGAAGGTTAGCACAGGATGCATAAAAACAGAAAGAGACTAAATTAGAAGCATCAGTGAGGGTTGACACACGTATAGCACAACTTGGGGCCTGGATTTTCAACATCAAGGCCCGAGGTGGTGGTTTTGGCCAATGCATTGTGGAGGGTGGGGAAGGGAGAGGTGCTTTGCAGAAGGACAGCAGTGTACGTTCCCATTGGCTGCACAATCCTGAGGGTTTCTCCACCCTCCCATGCTGGACCTGAGCAACTTCTTGGTACCTTAGTCAGGAGGGAAGGAAAAGGACATCTTTCTGTGTTAAAATGAATGAAGAAGAAATGAGAAACTTGACTATCGCTTTGGAAACCCACTGGTAAACTCTGGCTTTTCTACTGAGGTTCCTAAAGGACCAAGGATGGAGGCTCCCAGACAAAGCTTTGTGAGGCACAGGCCATGGCCAGGACACAGTGCGAATCACAGAGGAATGGGGCGCTGGCCCTGTGCTTTTTTGGGACGCTGCAGAAGAAGTTTCCTTTGGAGCAAAGAGCCCCCTATTAAGAGTCAGGACGGGGTCTCAGCTTGTATTTGCCTTCACTGTTCCTAAGTAGGAATCTCACCTGTGCCGGGGAGCTCTTCCCTTTCACAGAATGGCATCTGGGTTAACACATCTTTTGTCTTTTATTTTCTCTAGACTATTTCTTAATTTAAAGAAATTAAGGGCTCTGATCTAGGGCCCTAAAATAGAAAGGGCAATTATTGACCATGGGAACGACAGAACCAAGAGAAAAATGCAGTAACAGTGTTCTGGTGGGGTTTTCTTTCTTTCTTTGTTTTTCTCTAAGCTCTTTTTTCCTGTTCTCTAGGTAGAAAATTCTTAGTCTCCAGATAGTCTTCCTGGACACAATATTCCCGACCTTTGAAGAAACAATGTACCCGCAGTAGCCTAACCCTTTAACACGAACTCAGCCATCCTCTTTCACTCCCATGCTCCTTCCCCCAGAGCGAGGCGAGCCTTATCTGCCCCTTCTCCCACCCAGCTGTCACAGAGCGCCAGCTTATCCCTCCTGACCTCCATGGCTTTATCTTGCTTAAGAAGATAGATTTGGCAGTCCTAGAAATCAAAACATTTCTCTGTCCAGATTCTGTAGACCAAGATACAATTATCTCTGACCCATTAAGTGCATTAAGTGGTTTTTATTATTATAGAAATAACTGCATGTCCATGATCTTAAAAAATAGTTACGTCACAGAAAGGCATGAAATGAGAAAATCCTCCCTCCTCTGCCCTCCAGATGTAACCGCAGTGACTAGTGTCTGGCTTTTGTTCTTCTCGTGGTTGCCATCAGAGTACAAAATAAAATGTTTATGCTTCTGTTACTGATTTATCTAATTGCTCCAGAAAGCGTCGCCTAGTAAATGTCACAGATGGGCATGAATTGAATTCTGCAGCTTCACACCCTGTCACATCTGTATCTTAATTTTTATTAGCAACTATTTTAACTTTTTCCCTAGTAGTTATCTTTGTGGCATTAAATAACATACTTAAAATTACTTTAAATGTAAATATACTTTAAAAATACTTAGAATTCTAAGATTAGTATTTCCTCACAAGTGTGGACTATATCTGTTAACTTCTCTCTATGAAAGATGAGGAATTCCTTTTTCCTCTTTTCTGTCAAAATCCCAATATATTGTGTTATTTTGTTCATGTCAAGATGACAACAATTGTATTCTATGCCAAAGCATACCTTCCATCTGAAATTTCAACATTAATAAGACCCTGGTTTCTCTTCTTCAGTGTAAGGCAGTGCACATTAATACAGGTCTACAAAGGAAAATCCCCACAAACTAGCTAATTCCTCCTTCTGTTTCTTCAGCACCTTTACCTCCACCTCAATTACGTTCTGACACATAAATCTTCTGGATATATCTTCGAAACCACCGGAACTGGGATAAGCAACTTGTATGGCTGGAGAAGAAAGGAGATCTTTTCCCCACACTCAGGCGTCCTCAGGGTGGCGGGGGTTTCTCATCCACAGCTTCCCTCCACTCTGCTGAGTCACCCCGTGGTCACTGTCCATCCGTTCACTCCATCAGCCAGTGGGGGACTGTGAAGAGAAAACCCAGCAAGTTCCAAGCCAGGGGAAGAGGGGCTAAGTAAGGACTGGCAGCCTCCAGGGATGGAGGTCTTAGGAATGAAGCTCTTCTGTGGCTCGGTCCTCTCACCTTAGAGCAGAGATCGCAGAGAAAAGGGATTTTCCTGTCTCCCGCTTTTGGTTCCACATCAGCAGAACCCCATGGGAAAGTCTGGACTGGTGAGGGATTCCCTCTACTAATCCAATAAATGGCTTCCTTATCTAGAAAGGAATCGTGCAACATGGCATCTTCGGGGACTTGGAGTTACAGAGATATGGTGGGCTGGGCTAGTGTAAGCTTCCACCTCAGCAGATAAAAATGCCAAATAATGTACATTTTAAAGAGACATATGTACTTGAGCTCACAAGAGAAAGAATAATCCATAGATGTCTGAAATGATGAACTGAAAGCCAGAACGGGGACATCGTTTATAGAAATAGTTTGTGGGGGCAGCGGCTGGGGGAAGGAAAGTCTAGACCAGACCTGAACTGGGCCTGGAGGCTTCATTTATCAGACACAGGGCAGGAGAGAGGCCATAAGCCTCTGGCTCTGAAACCCTATGCTAAGCTATAATCTTCAGTAAAAAGAAACCACAAAATCTCCATCTCATTTGCAAAGGGCAATAACCTCAGTAAAAAGGGACTAAGCAATCTCTACCCTCCAGCCCAGGGAGCTGGCAGGGATGTCTGTCTTTACTTGGAGTTCTGGGTGGGAAAAGGCTCCCATGAGAAAGGAAAAATCTGCAAGGCTGTGCTCAACAAGACTTTGGTGTCCAAAAATATACTATGCACATGATGAAGGAGAGCATCACTATAGAAGCTGGTTCTGGGCCACGATCCTCATTCTGAGCCCTTTCGCAGAAACCAAATTCCATGCTGACCAACAGGGACCCTATAGCCAAGTGGCCCAGGATTTGCACTCAAACAGTTCAGGTAAACATGAGCTCAAGAGAAAACCCTATGAACCACCTTGAGAAATGGCTTGAGAGTCAGCAAACATGTTCAACACCTGACATAACAATTGAAGGAATGGAAGACACCATGAGAGTTACCTCATCCACACCTGATTCCCTCAAGCAAAGCTGTCCCTGGGCCATCCCAGGACAAAAGCCAGAAATCCCAACAGGACCAGGCACCCTGGGACTCAGCCCCACTCCTTGTTTGACAGCCGAGGACTCTGAATCCCAGGGAGCAACTCCTGGCTGTGTGGGAAACCATGACTGCACAGGACAGCTCTTGCTTCTAAAGCCACAGACTGGCTCTTGAGGTTTCAAAACTGGAGAGGGAGTGGCCGTGGCAGAGGGAAGCAGCTGTAAGATAACCAGGGAATTATAGCATGGTTTGTTATGGCTTCAGAGCTGCCACAGTGGAAGGATTCAGGTGGGTTACCTTGAGCCTTCCTTTCAAGGGCAGAAGCCGCGTTGCTTACATCACCTCATGGAGTTGCCCAACCCTCCCTCCCCATCCTTCCAGATATCGAGATGAGTGTTGCAACTTCTGAATCTTTGCTAAAAGAAGGAAAGAGAGGGACCCTGTGGCTCT